CAAATATCTCTCTTAGTTAACAGTTTTGAGGAGACCTTCGGTTAGATAAATACATTTTAATAGGCACATAATTAATATCAATTATGCATTTGTTGATTTTATTTTGTTAATTTTGACTAAAAATACATTTTCTTGAAATAAAAACCTAACTTTTATGTTAAATAAAGTAAATGACTTTAAAAGTCGGGCTGAAGTTAGTTTAAGTTAGTTGACAGTTGTTAAACGTCATTCAATCGTTAAAATAATACTAAATGTGAAAATTATTTTATTATCTCAATACAAAAATTAAAAAGTATGGGTTAAATAATTTCTTGACGCCAATTTTTGTACTGACCTTTTGATTTCGCCGTAGTACTATAGTGCTATTAACTAGATTTAACTGATCAAGCGTTACAAATTTTGCGTAAAGTGCACATAAAACATTATCTTCTTTTTTACTGTGAAAAACTGCTTCTATATCGATTGTTAGTCTATTTTCAAGGAATAAATTTTGATTTACAGAGACAAATTTGAGATTTTAACGCTGCTAGATTCCCAAGTTAGTAATTCTAACGGGACTTCCAATAAATACAACTGTCACATTTTCCGTGTAAGAATTTTTAATACTTTGTTATAATATTTTGCAATTATAATAATAAAAAAATCAAAGGATAACATATTTTCTTAACAAAAACATATTTTAAAGTTATTTTGATATTTTAATCAAAATAATAACGGGCAATGTTAATGGTAAAAATTACGTCAAAAATGTTTATTGGGATGGTTTCTTCATTTTCGTATAAATGTCGCTTTATACAAATATTTAATTTAAATTAATGTTTAGATAATATTAATTATTTGTCGTAGAAAAAGTATGCAACTCGTTTATAAATTTTTCTATGCACTCTTTTAATTAAGCAGTCGCTCGCAAGCTCGCTCGTGCCTAAATTAAATTCGTGACTAAAATGGCGTTTATGAAACTTGATACATAATATACTATTATTTAATTTTGGACATGTTTACTCATTTTTGCTAAATTCCTAATTAATGCTCCCCTGCTTACACCAAAAATGAATTGAACTTGACAAGGTAATTAAAATTTAAAGAGCCTTTTAAAAAATAGATTCTGGATCAATTAAAAACCTATTTGTAACTATTTATATGTGTGTATGTGTAAACCTAATTCAAAAACATGTTGAATAATAAAACGAATACTCGATAACAATGCCAATGTGTTAAAACTCATGTGAGGTATAACCTATACCTACAGTGAAAATCGATTCTAACAAAATTTGTATTAAAAGCGCGCGGCGCACTATTGTTTATGTTCAAAAAAAATACATTTTTAAATGTTATTTATTTTTGGTAATTTCATAAAAGCAATGGGTTTTGGTAGAAACACTTTTTGATTACTTCTGGTAGAAACGGCCTTAAATTTTTTAAGTTAAAAATATAATTTTTTGTAATTATCTTTGCTTAAAGTACCTCTTTATCTATTAAAGAATAACCATTTCAATAGTTAACTAAATTCAAATTAAAATACACATTGCAAAGTTAAAGAAAACATTTTTTTAGACAGGCATAGGTATAACTACAATTTCCAACGATTTTACAGAGTTTTCTCTACCCCAAATTGTCAGAAAGTACAAAAAAAAATAAGCTGCATTATAGTGCATAAAAATAGTTATGATTATATTTTTATTGCGCATCACGACTAAATCGCGGTGGCTCTTACCTAAAGATTTACGAAAAATCTAAAACAATTCAAAAATAAAAAGCCTAATTTTTTCAACTTAGGTATAGTAAATAAGTAATTAGTCTTATAAAAAATTATTTATTTGTAATAAAAAATTATAAAATTATTTCCGCAAAACGGTGCTTTGTGAGCAGAGTGCGGCAGCAAATGTATACTTAACATAAACATAATTAAAATCGCTTGATACCGAAAAGTTTAAAGGTATTTTGGATTATGTAAGCAAAAGGCGGATTATTTAGATTTTTAATGTTTTAATATTACATATTTTGTACCATAGTGTTGTATTGTATATAATATACTATAGTATAGGTACTACAAAAAAACATATACCTGTTTGGTAGTTTGATTAAAAATGTATGTAAAAAGGTAGGTATATATATAATATATATAATATACCTATTTGTTGTAAAAACTTAAGTTTAAAAAATGTGTAGAATAATAAGTTAATAAATAAATGTAAAAAAGTTTACTAAATAAACATTAAATATAGGAATGCTCGCACCTAATCTGTGTAAGCTATTGTTTCAATTTTGTTCCGCTGGCAAGTTGCCAAAGTAATAATGTTGGCCAGAAGTTCAACATTCATTCCGAACAAATTACCCACTCTTCTACCCTCTTCTTTATATATTCAAAAACTTTCTCAAAATAAATGATTCCACATTTTCGTTTTGTTAATTTTAAATGTCTCACATTTTAGTTGGCGAATTTTAATCATTGGGTTTGCTTTCATTTCTTTCAACCAACACTTAATTAAAAATTTACATTATTTTTTTACAACCACAATGCCTTTTTTACGAAAAAAACGAATTTGATTTAACAAAGAATTATATTCATAAAAAAACTCACAAACAACCATAAAATGTGTTATAATATAAAATGAAGTAATTAGTATGTTTTTAAACAAATTGAAATATAATTGTTTTTAACAAAATCAAAAACGCTATTTTAAATTCAAAATCAAAAACTTCTTAATCATTATTTTTAATAACAAAACGTTTAAATATAAAGTTAATATGTTATAACATTAAAATAAAATAATATGTTTTAATTAACGCTTAGTAAATAACTAGGTACTTTAATTTTATAAATTTTAATACACAATTAGTAAATAATATGACAGAAAAACTGAACATTATTGGAAATATCAAGGGCATCATATTTATAAAAACAATATAAAATGTTTGATAAATGTATATTTTCAAAATAAACCTATATAGGTTATAGTACCTACATATGTATGTAGGTACCTACGTAAGTAAATATTTTTCCCTCGATTTTTCCTAAAAAAACTTCAGTTTCTTTTGCTATAGATTTTACTTGCAAATTGCTTCAACCCTTCGCGCAAAAGTCACAACCCCTAAAATTTTAATAGGCATAGTAATACCTTATTTGAAAGGTCATGCTCCAATGAGTATCATAAAAATGGTCAAATTTTATTCATTCGTTTTCGATATATTTACGAGATATTTTAAGCACTTAATAGATTAATAAACTTTGTTCTACTAATCTCATTGGTTTTCTGACAAAAAAATAATTATCTGCTACCTACAGTATGTTTTGCACCTGCTTAAATGATTGACATTAATTTACCTCAGGAAGTGGTAATGTTATAATAATGAAATTATTATAAAGCTTAACCACCTTAACAATTTTAAAATTCATATTTTTGACGAAACAGTTATGACAAAATTAGTAAAAAGTTTATAACTATGTTTAATAACTGTTCTGTATGTATGTACATATATTTTAATATTTTGGTAAGCTAAATACTGACGTAATCATTTTCAAAAATTTAGATAAATTCATTGTAAACAAACGTCACAAAAAAGGAAATTACTGTGCCTCGAAAAACAATAATTAATGCAAAAGCATAAAAGCGTTATGTTAAGTGTTTATAAATAAATGTTATCTACGTAAATTTTGGGAATTTACAATAATTCGCTCCCGGGAAATTTTGTTGTTTACTTTTAAAAAATAGATATATGTAGGTACTTAATTATAATTTAAAGTTGTTTTTCCCTTTTATCTAAAACTAAACGAATATTTAATTAAACAAACAACAAGGCGTAGAAAACATGCTAGTAAACGTAAATAATAAAATATATAAACAACAAATCGCTGGCAAGTTGTTTACAGAAAATTGTGTCCTTTGGCAAACGTTCGAACAAAACCTTGCTTGAAATAAGGTGAACGTTATTATAATTTAAATAAACGCCATAGACACAGTCCGTGATAATACGTTACATTTACAATAATCAAGCGTTAATGTTTCAAAATATTGCATATCAGGTTTTTATCAATAAACGTTTGCACTTATCTAAGTTCATTAAACCAAATGTCTCAATTAATTAGTTATTGCCCATTAAGCCGAACAAAGAAAAACAAATAATTAAACCTGTGTTAATTTTAGAGAAAGTTACGTCTAAAAAGGCTAATTTAATTATGGCAAAGCGAATATTTAGTTAATATTAATATAAATCAAGTCAACATGCATAAAACAAAAGCACTCCACGTTAGACGTCAATTTTGAAACATTGCCAGTCCACTGGATATAATTTACCAGATAAAAGACAATTGAATAACGATGTAATAATACTGTGAAAGCGTAAATAACATGGTTTCCTGGTATCGCTGAAATTCCTCTAACGGAAAATTTCCCCAAATCTTATTCGGGAAAATAAAGTTTTCCAATGGAAATTGCTTTCGCGAATGGCTCTGTTTTAATCATAAAGATTTCCTGGTAAACTAAATGTTTATTAAGTAATGCGCTTAATCAAAAGATAGCGCAGACAAAAAGCCAAAAAGTAATTATCCGACATGCTATAATTGTTGATTTCGTACTGCATGACATACGCTAAGATAATTATGCGAATTAATTTATTAACGATGACGTAAAGAACCACACTCAGTGTGTTGCATAAATCTAAGTAATAGTAATTTTTGCCGTAAATTTGATTAATAAGGGTGAGAAAACGGATAAAAAGCGTGTTTTATGGAGATTGTTAACGGCCTTGTTATCAATTATCAGCAACAAATCGAATAGTGCAGTTGGAAACAAAGAAAATACACATACCTACAATTAGCTTACGCAACAATAAAATATAATTTTATACATAAGTTGTGTACTACTTTTGTAGTCGCCGACATAAAAAAGTAAAGCGCTCCGGGTTACCGTTAGCGATTTACTTTGTTTCGCTCAACTGTCAAATAATAATATTTAATGAAATAGTTGAAATAAAGTAGGTATGTTGTCGAAAGTTGTTACCTTGTTTTTGCTGCAAGTTAACAACAGAATAATCCAAAGTGTTTAAAATCCTTTTGGCGATTGTTCCTTAATGACCATCACTTGTTTGAAAAGTTTTTGATTAATTGATAGAAAATAACAAAACACACACACACACACAGAATGTCAGCGTTGAGTCGGTGAAATAAAAAAATTAATAAAATATGTCCGTTAATTTGAATCACTCCATTAAAAGGTGAAATTATGCACCAAACCGATAAATTAATTATCTGTAATAATGAGAGAGACGCACTGTGTCGCACTGCTCGCAGTCTAGATGTAGTGCGGATTGTGGCTATCACAGTACTGCCGTTGCGCCTACTTGGATGGTATTAGAGCTTACAAGGGGAACATAGTTTTGATGTCGCCGTGAAATTTGTTAGCGAGAAACTTTGGTGCGAAACTTTTTCAATACCAAAACTTCCTTCCGCAGCAGTCGTGCGGTGGAAAATAACTTTGAGCTCTAAATTGTGGGCACGTGGACTTGGCTAAAGGCCCTTACGGCACCCGAATCAATCCTTTGCTCCTTTTCTATATTACTAAGTGAAGTGGCTGAATTTGAGACAGATTTTTGCTTGGATTAATGTATTTTAGCCGTAAATTTTACTAGTGCACCCTTCCCCACTCCGCTACACAACTTCGCTAACTATTAACTACCTATTCCCTATTGCGCTCTGTTCTGGAACAGTACTGTACACAGATATTTATTATTTGACGATTCATTTGCATTCATCGCTGTCTCTCTGATTATCCTTTGTTTGCTTTTTATTTATTATTATATTTCGCAGTTTTTTTTGGGTTTTATTAATCAATTATGACAGGTCGTTTCCTTGACTAACTTAGCGACCTATACAATTAAACTTAATTTTTTTATTTTTTGGATTTATTATTTAATATGAAAGGTTCTAATAAAAAAATATTAACAACCTACCTATTAAAAATGTTTTTATATTTTATATTAAACTTATATTTTTAAAATGAGTAGGTATATCAAAATATTTTGATTTTAACATATTATGTAAGTTAAAAAATTTCAAATTCAGAAAAAAATATTATGTTTCTAATAATAAATAAAATATTAAATTATTTACATATTTAGTATTTTCTTTAAATTTAAAGTTCAAAAAATTGAACGGTCGCAATTTAAACTTTTTAATGTCCTTTATGAATTTTAGTATTGATTTTTAATAAGTTTAACCAAATAAAAGGTATACCTTTTAAGTGCAATAAGAAATAATGTACCAATAAATTATAATCTACATATAATTTTTTCTATTTTCAATTGTTTTATTGTTTACTAGCTGTCAACCCGCGGGCTCCACTCCGCTTTATTATTTTACATTATGTAAATCTTAAATAGATTGGAACATCAAATGATGTTTTTAAGGTGCAATTTAAAAATGCATTTAACCTAAATTATATCTAGTTAAATAAAATAAAAATAGTTATTCTAATATTTTTTTTGTTGCAAAAATCATAAAATAATTTTAAAAAAATTAGCAAAAAAGACAAAAAGTTAAAATGTTAAAAAGGCATGTAAATATATATTTTGTACCCCCGCCGCGGTGCGACAGTTAGGATTACAAAACCAAACACTTTTTATACTGTTTATATATAAACAGTATACAACAGTATATAACTGTATACAGATATGTATATCTTTTTTATTTTAGAGCTACAAGATCGGTTAAATATATTTTCCTATAGGAGAAAAATTATTATCTATTAAAATTAAATTTATAAATTGGGAAAAAAGCCAGCGTTTCTCAAAATATTTAAAAAAACTAAAAACCAATCAAAACCAATAATCGCTATAACTTCTGAGACTTTAAAAAAAGTAAGTATTACTTGTAAACATACGACCTTTTAAAATTAATATTACAGACTGGACTCTGTAAGATTTTTTGTAAATAATTTAATGCTAAAAAATTTCGAACATTTGTTATAAATTGTTTTCAGAGCCGACTATTGTTGATTTAATGTTAATTTTTGTTTTTCAAACGTTTCAAATAATACATTTTACAAGGAAACCCCTTTTTCTTAAATTTTGAATTACAGCGCCATCTGTTGATAAATTGAAAAAAACTTTCAAATAAAAGTTATTCATTTTTTTATGTACTACCAAACTCTGTGAAAAAAATCGGGTCATTCCATTTGACTTTCCAAAGTTACCCCCCGTTTCACCCTTAAGGAGGGGTAGGGGGTGGCTAGCGGTAGCACCAAATAATGTCCCCTTTGGTCACATTAACCTTTTATTTAAGACATTTTTCCGTGAAATGCGTATTTTTCGAGATATTGAGCTGTCTCAAGTTAAAAGAAACACCCTGTATATCTCCATTATTCGAGTTAAACTAGCAAAACCCCTTTAAAGATTAGTTTTGGGGGTTGCATAGATTCGATTTTTCCACATTTCATCCCAGTTCAAATTGTAAGGTCAAAATTTGTCGCACAGTGTAATTAATACTTGTATAAAGTAATTTTAAAAAGGTTTTGTTCACTTGAAGGCACAAGGGCCACAAGTATGGTTTGCACCGAGGTCCACTCCTGCTTAAATCCGCCACTGATAATACGAGTATCAAGTATTAAGTTTAAATTATATTGCATTATTTTTTACAATTAATCACGAGTGCAACAGTTATAAAATAAATAAAAAATATTTCAAAAAATAAATAAATGTATAAATTAAATTAAGAATAAGTGAGTAGGTACTTAATTTCTTAATATAAAATAAATTTAAGTATACAAATTATGATGAAATAATTATAAATTCATTTCGCTAAAACACACATACATTTGATGCAGGTAAATGTAAATTTTACATTTAATTTTATTTAAATCATTACGCCATCGCATATTTTAATTGTGCAATGTTTTTTTCATCTATAGATGATTATTATAATATAATAATATATAATAATTATAAATTATAATTTTAGTAGTTTACCCAAGTAGGCATTTTTTATTTAATTTACCCTAAAACGATATTTTAAAACAACTCGACTCGTGTTTTACAGTAGACACAATGAAAAATTACCAGTTAATGTTTTAAATTAATTTTCAGACTGGAATAAATCTCCATAGCAATTAGCCAGTAGATTGAACCAATAACGGTTTTTTGTATTTAAATCGGACGTCGGTCGATAGTTTTCTATATTTTTGGATAAATATAAATAGAGAATGTTCCAGAAATACGAAAATTGCAAATTTATATTTTACAATAATAATAATAATATATTTTACAAAAATGGCTAAATTTGGTTGCATACCTTAATTAATGATTCAGGTAGGTAGTCAATAACATGTTTATCGTTTGTACATTTTTTGGTCTAGAATAATATTTAGTTGCTATAAAATGTTTCACAATTTTACGACTGTGTGTCTATTATTGTATATTTATCGATTATTAGTACAAAATTACCTGTAGGTAGGTAATACAGTCTTAATGTACGTAAATTCATGCCAAATTACGTTTGTTGTGAAGATGTACAACTTTAATTTAATAGTACTTAAGTGCAAAACATCAAAATAAAAAATCCTTACTCTTATTTAATTCTATTTTTCTTTGATTTATTTTGATCCGGCTGTGTAAATCTTGAAAAATACATTACAGTTTTAGTAGGGGCAAATTTAAAACCCTTTTCGTTCATTTCTTTCTTCTTATTGTAGCAGGTAGGTATAGCAAAATTATAGGGTAACTCCAACCCATAAATACTACGTTTAAACTATAATGTGTTTCTCAATATTAAATTAATTTATTATTTTAATTTTTGGTTACAGACAAAGAATGTCTTTGTAACATTAGGTATATAAAAAGCGATTTAATTTTTTATATATATTTAATTTTTTATATATATATATTATGAACTCTGGTAAAAAACACTGGTGTATGTTTTTAATCCTTTGATTGTTTAAAGAACTTATTCAGGTCTTAAGAGGGAAAATTTATTTTAAAATAAAAATAAAGTAGTGTTTTTTGCATCGTTTTGGACCGGCAAAAAAGCAACGCTGTATTGAAGATTCAACACCATAAGTTTTATCGAAGTCCTCCGCCGGCTATGATGGTCAGAGGCGGATTAAGGATGGGCCCAGGAGGTCAAATCCAAAGGCAGCAAATAAAAAAAATGAATGGACACTAATAATTTAAAAATCAAATCAGCATGTTTGAATTATGTAAAAATTACATCCACCGTATCCGTATTGTATGGATCATTATCAGAGTACCTATATACACACCATAAAAAAAAGAATTTTACATTTATGAAAATGAAGCGCTAGTGCAATCGAAGGTGACTCATTATGAAGATGAAACAAAAACGAAAAAAACTTTAAATTAGATTAAACAGGAGAAGAAGAAATATACTTGATTGAAAATTTCAGAATTAATACTTACAATGTCATAATAATTATTATTAATTCATTGATTAGCAAAATGGACAACGCGTTGTTTGGATTTTTTATATTTGTTTCTATCTGGTTCATTACCTAATTGTATTTGAAACAGGCAGAAGCACTATTAAACCAGATAAAAGTTTGTACATTTAGACCATATAAAGGGTTTTTCCTTAAGAGTGATAGATCTTTGATCAACAATGGCGTTGTTATTTCAAAAGATCCTGCTGTCATTTTTTGACGTACGTATTCTACAAAGCTTGCCATTTTATAATGAAGAGATACACAAGTGCTCAAAGAATCTCGATAATTCAAATTTATTATCCAAATAACCGTTTTCCGCGACAAACGTTTCGTGCGTTAGCGAATTTTATGATATTAATCTACGTGTGCGTCGTCATACGCTAAAGAAGTATCGCTAGTAGCGCCACCACTCAGCTGTCAAACGCGTGTGTTACAAACGAGTGTTTTTGAGAATAAAGCCGGAAAATGTTAAAAAAATATCGAAAAAAACCGTGGCACGATTTTTTGTGTTGTTTGGTGTATTTCGAGAGGAAATCCTGGGTTGAGTTTTTATCGGTTTTCCAATAAACAGTGTTAATCCGAATGAAGAAATAAATTTCATAAAGTCCTTGTAAATATAAATTGTATCTTTTAGATACAATAAATACACATTTTAGTAATGATTAACGTGAAAAGTGTAAACATTTCAATTCAGTAAAAATCGTCAAACAAATAAGGCGTCTAAATTTAAACAGCATTTAGCATTATTAAAAGCGTTGATTAAGAATTCTTTAAAGTCTCAACGGTAAAATACCATTATATTATGTATTATATAATATTATGTTGCCATAAATTCGTAGGTAAATTTTGTTGTTTTTTAGAGAACTCAAATATAAAAATGGTTGATTTTAAGTTTATAT